AGGGTTTTTTGGGGGAATTTTTGCAGATTTTTTGGGGATTTTTTGAGAAATTTTTGGGGATTTTTTGGGAAATTTTTGGGGCTTTTTTGGGATTTGTTCAAGAATTTTTTCGGGTTTTTTGGGAATTTTTGCAGAAATTTTTTGGGATTTTTTCGGGTTTTTCTTGGGAATTTTTGGGGGATTTTTTTCCTGCTTTGTTTTGTGATTTTTAGGGGTTTTTTTTAAATGGGAATATTTTAGAATTTTGCCGGGGTGATTTTTTGAGTATTTTTCAGGAGTTTTTTTCGGTATTTTTTAGAAGATTTTGCAATTATTTTTTTTATTTTTGTGTGGATTTTTTTTGGGCTGGAACAGCCAAACCTTTCCTTGGGAATTCCAGGGCGGGAAAGGCCCAAAAACCCAAAATCCTCCGGGAATTCCAAATCCCAGTGAAGGATTTTGATTCCCCCCCCCGCCGAAATTCCTTTATTTTTTTATTTTTTAATTTTTTCCCCCGGCCGCAGCTCGGAGCGAGGATGAGGAGGGCCAGGATTCCCGATGCTCCCGGAATTCCGAGGGGAAGGATCCCAAACGCTCCAAGCGGCCCCGAACCATCCTGAGCTCCCAACAGCGCCGCGCCTTCAAAGCCTCCTTCGAGGTCTCCTCCAAACCCTGCCGGAAGGTGCCGGAACGTTCCGGAGATTATTTCGGGATTGCTTCAGGAATTTTGGGATGGGGCTCTGGGATTTTGGAGTTGGCAATGGGATTGAATTCCGAGGGGTTTTCCCCCATTCCCGGTCTCCTTCCCGGAATTCCGAGGGATTTTTCCCCCACTCCCCATCTCCTTCCTGGAATTCCGAGGGATTTCGGTCTCCTTCCCGGAATTCCGAGGGATTTTTCCCTCCTTCCCGGAATTCTGAGGGATTTTTCCCCCATTCCCCATCTCCTTCCCGGAATTCCGAGGGATTTTCCCCCATTCCCAGTCTCCTTCCCGGAATTCCGAGGGATTTTTCCCCCATTCCCGGTCTCCTTCCCGGAATTCCGAGGGATTTTTCCAGGTGCGGGAGACGCTGGCGGCCGAGACGGGGCTGACGGTCCGGGTGGTCCAGGTGTGGTTCCAGAACCAACGAGCCAAGGTGGGAATTCCCGGAATTCCCAGAATTCCGGGATAAGAAACGACGCCAAATCCTCCAAAACCGGGGTTTTGCGGAATTGTGGGATTTTTTCCCCGGAATTTTTCCGGGTGTTTTTTCCCCCCAGATGAAGAAGATCGCCCGCAGGCAGCAGCAGCAGGAGCAGCTCGGGAATTCCAGAGGGGGAATTCCAGGAGGGAGAGGATCCGGGAGGAGCGGCCGGGATGGGAACGAGGATGAGGAGGGTCAGGAATGAGGGGGATGGGATGGGAAAACGGGAATGGGAGAACGGGAATGGGAAAATGGGAATGGGAAAATGGGAATGGGAAAATGGGAATGGGAAACCGGGAATGGGAAACCGGGAATGGGGTGGATCTGGGATGGAGGGATCGGAAAGTGGGGAGTCACAGCATCCCCACCCCGCCTTCCCGACGTTCCCGACGTTCCCAGGCCTGCAGCGGATCCTGGTCCCGTTCTCCCGGATTCCGCCGCCCCTGGAGCCCAACGGATTCGGGAGCGAGGCCGGAACGTTCCGGGGAGCGACGCCCCCGGAGCTGCGGCCCTACGGTAACCGCGGGAATCCCGGGAATCCCGGGAATGGGAAACCGGGACGGGTCGGGAACGCCGAGGCCCCAGCCCGGTTTCCTCCCCTCCCCAACCCTTTTTCCCAATTTTTCCCAATTTTTCCCAGACTCTGAGGGAGTTTTCCAGGAGCTGGACGGGGACGCACTGGGATCCTTGGGAGCGGCCCTGATTCCCACGGAGAATTCCCAGCAGCTGATCCTCGGGAATGGCGGAATTCCCGAAATCCCCGGGGCCAGGGACGCCCTGGAGCGCCTGTACCCCGGGAATCCCAGAATTCCCGAAATCCCCGAGCCCGGGAATCCCATGGAGCGCCTGTACTCCATGCAGAGCTCCTACTTCACCTCCTGACATCCCGGAATTCCCGAAAATCCCAGTCCTGGGAATCCCAAAAAAAAAAGGGGGTCGACCCCCTCCAAGATTCCGCCGGAATTTGGGATTTTCCCTCTGCTCCCGTGCCAAGTTTTGGGAATTTTTTGGGGGGGAATTTTTCGGTAATACTTTTTTTTTTTTTTTTTGCATGTCTGGTGGGAAATAAACCCCGGGGAAAAAAAAAAAAAATAAGGAAAGTTTTAAAAGTTTTGGGAATTTGGGGATTTTGGGGCTCCCAGGGTTGAGAAGGCTCCTGGAATTCCCAGGGTTTTTTGTTGTTTTTTTTTTTTCCCCATGGAAAACACTGACTCCGATCCCTGAATAATTCCATGGGACCACAAGATTCCCAAAAAAACCCCAAAAACTGAGAAGGAAAAGCTGGAAAAGGTGGGGAAAAAAGGAGGAAAAGATGGGAAAGAAAGGAGGGAAAAAAGGAAAAAATTTGGAATGAAGAGAAGGACAAGCAGAATTTTTGGTCCCATCCCGAAGATTCCCGGGGAGACCCCGCTGGAATTTTTATTTCTTCCTCCAATTTTTGGGATAAAATCTCGGGAATCCGCAGGGAATTGCGGATCAGGCCCCACATCCCGGGGCTCCTTTTCCAGAGGGGCAATTCCCAGGATTTGGGAGGAGATTCCGGAAGGTTCCGAGGCTTTCCCGGCTCCCGGGGGGGGTTTTAATTCCAGGCATTCTCTGGGGAGGGAGAAAAAAAAAGGGGGAAAAAAAAATTCACATTTTTATCCCAAAATTCCATCCCGAATTTCCTCTTTCCAGCTTTTTTTCACGGGGAGGGGGAAAAAAAAAAGCGGATTTTAGGGAATTCAAATCCCAAAATTCCGAATTCTCCAGCGTTTCATGAGGCAGGAAGGGCCAGGGCTGTTTTTGGGGTTTAATTCCCGTTTTTATCCCAAAATTCACCTGTGGAGGTGCCCCCGGGGGTGTCCCTGGGGGTGGCAGTGGCAGTGGCAGTGTCCCCGGGGGTGGCACTCTGGGCACAGAGCAGGAACTGGGTGACACTGGGACCGCATTTGATTCACCTGTGGAGGTTTTTATCCCAAAATTCACCTGTGGGGGTGCCCCCGGGGGTGTCCCTGGGGGTGGCAGTGGCAGTGGCAGTGTCCCCGGGGGTGGCACTCTGGGTGACGCTCTGGGTGACGCTCTGGGTGCAGAGCAGGAACTGGGTGACACTGGGGTCATATTTGGGCATTCAAATCCCGTTTTTATCCCAAAATTCACCTGTGGGGGTGCCCCCGGGGGTGTCCCTGGCAGTGTCCCTGGCAGTGGCAGTGTCCCCCGGGGTGGCACTCTGGGCACAGATCAGGAACTGGGTGACACTGGGGGCCGCATTTGGGCATTCAAATCCCGTTTTTATCCCAAAATTCACCTGTGGAGGTGCCCCTGGAAGAGCCCCTGGGGGTGTCCCCGGGGGTGGCAGTGGCAGTGGCACTGGCAGTGTCCCCGGGGGTGTCCCTGGGGGTGTCCCTCTGGGTGACGCTCTGGGTGACACTCTGGGCGCACAGCAGGAACTGGGTGACACTGGGGCCACATTTGGGGTTTAATTCCCGTTTTTATCCCAAAATTCACCTGTGGAGGTGCCCCTGGAGGAGCCCCTGGGGGTGTCCCCGGGGGTGTCCCTGGCGGTGTCCCCCGGGGTGTCCCCCTGGGTGACGCTCTGGGCGCACAGCAGGAACTGGCTGGCCTGGGGGCCGTATTTGGGCATTCAAATCCCGTTTTTATCCCAAAATTCACCTGTGGAGGTGCCCCTGGAAGAGCCCCTGGGGGTGTCCCCGGGGGTGGCAGTGGCAGTGGCACTGGCAGTGTCCCCGGGGGTGGCACTCTGGGTGACGCTCTGGGTGACGCTCTGGGCGCACAGCAGGAACTGGCTGGCCTGGGGGCCGTATTTGGGCATTCAAATCCCGTCACTGGGGCCACATTTGGGGTTTAATTCCCGTTTTTATCCCAAAATTCACCTGTGGAGGTGCCCCTGGAGGAGCCCCTGGGGGTGTCCCTGGCAGTGTCCCCAGGGGTGACACTCTGGGTGATGCTCTGGGCACAGAGCAGGAACTCGGTGACACTGGGGGCCGCATTTGGGGGATTAATTCCCATTTTTATCCCAAAATTCACCTGTGGAGGTGCCCCCGGGGGTGTCCCCGGGGGTGTCCCCGGGGGTGTCCCCGGGGGTGACACTCTGGGTGTCCCCCTGGGTGACGCTCTGGGCGCACAGCAGGAACTGGCTGGCCTGGGGGCCGCACTGGGCCGCGCTCCGGGGCCGCTCCCGCAGGCAGCGCTCGAAGGCGCCGAAGGCGTCGGAGCAATCGCGGCGGATCCGGCGCACCAGGGGGCTGCGGGCAGGGAGAACGGGGGGAACGGGGGGAAACGGGCAGGGAAAATGGGGAAATGGGGAGGGAAAATGGGGAGGGAAAATGGGGAAAACGGTCCCCACGTCCCCGGTGTCCCCGGTGTGTCACTCACTGGCTGGACGCGCACTCGGTGACGCTCAGGGACAGCTGGTGACAATCCCGGTGCCAGCTGCCGGGGCTCGCGGCCACGCAGCGCCCGTAGCGCTCCAGCTCCGGCCCGCAGAGCCGGGCGGCGACGGCCAGCGCCTCCCTGCGACAGCGACAGCGACAGCGTCACCTCCCTGCCACAGGGACAGTGGCACCAGCGGCACAGCCGGGTTGGAACGAGAGGGACACCGAGGGGACACGGCCCGGCCCCGCCGCCCCTCACTCACATGGCGCCTTCTCCTCCGCCGCCGCTTCACTTCCGCCACTCTCTCCCTCTGCGCATGCGCCCCGCCATCACGTCCGCTACTCCCTCACTCTGCGCATGCGTTCTGCTCTTACTTCCGCCACTCCCTCACTCTGCGCATGCTCGCAGCCCCGAGGCGGGAAACGGGGACTCGGCGCAGGCGCAGAGGCGGAAGCGAAAGCGGAAGCGGCGCGCCGAGGGCGGAGGGAAGATGGCGGCGGCCGCGGCGGCCCCCGAGGACGAGCTGGTCTCGTCGGTGACGCTTTACCGGCGGCGGCCGCGGCTGCTCCGCGGCACCGTGCTGCCCTTCGCCGCCGGCCTCTACCCGGCCTGGCTGTGGCTGTGGGGGCCGCGGCTGTGGGCGGCGGGCGAGGCGGCGGGGCCGCCCGAGGCGGCGCTGTTGGCGCTCGGCGCCATCGCGGCGCTGCAGCTGCTCACGGCGCTGGCCGGGCTCTGGTCCGTGCACGCCGAGTGCGCCCTCAGCTGCGTCAGGGTGAGCTCGGGAAGGGCACCGGGGCGCTGCGGGTCGGGGGGTTTGGGAAAATCCAATGAATTCGTGATAATCCGCGAGGGAATGGGAAAATCCGGGAATTCCGGGGGGTTTATCCCTGAAAATGGGGGAAATCTGGGAATTCCAGGAAAAACTTGGGGATTTTTCTGCAGGAGACCCGTGTAATTCTGGGATTTTCACCCTGTCTGGGCTGGAAATTTTTCCAGGAATGAGGAAATTTGGGATTTTTCCCCTTTTTTTTTTTTTTTTTCCAGGGTGAGGACGGGCAGGAAGCGCTGAGCTTCGAATTCCAGAAGATCAAATATTCCTACGAAATCCATGGAAAAAAACAATTCCTGCCCGTGGCATTCCCTGTGGAGCATCCCTTGGGATTCTACCAGAATTCCAGAGGCTTCCAGGAGGAGCAGGAAATCCGGGAGGCCGAGAGGAAATACGGGAATAACAAGTGAGTTTTTCCTGGGGGAAAATCCTGGGAAAAAAATCTTTAAATATCCCCCAAAAAATTCACAAATTTACTGGGAAACCATTCCTAAAATAGCTGAGATATCCCAGGGAAATAACCCAAAGTGTCTTGGGAAAATATTCCCAAATATTCCAGGTGAATGTGCCAAAATGCCATGAAGTATTCCAGGAAAATATTCCAGGAAAATGTCCCCATATATTCCAAAATATGCTGGAAAATATCCTGGAAAATCTGGGATTTTCCTCCTGGATTTGGGATTTTGGACTGAGAAATTTTCCGGGAAGGAATCCCAAAAATCCAATTTTTTGTTTAAAATGACCGGGAATGAGGAGGGTTTGGGATGTTTTGGGTGGGAAAACTGGGATTTTCCAAGGATTTTCCAAGGATTTTCCTCCTTCCAGGGCAGAAATGGTGGTGCCAGAATTCCTGGAGCTGTTCAAGGAAAGAGCCACGGCTCCGTTCTTCGTTTTCCAGGTAAAAATGAGGAATAAAAACTGGAAAAAAACCCCAATTTTGGGAAAAACCAGGGAAAAAAAACCTGGGGAAAACCCCCAAATTTGGGAAAAACCTGGGAAAAATCCCCAAATCTGCTGAAAATGGGAAGAAACCTAGGGAAGACTCCTGTTCCTGTAAAAACCGGGGGGATTCTGGGATGTGTTGGGCCAGTTTTGGTCTCCTTTTCTTTGGAATAATTTTGATCCCTTTTCCCCTGGAATTCCAGGAATTCTGGGCAGGAATTCCAGCAATCCTGGGCTGGACTGGGACACTGCCAGTCCCACAAGGATTTTTCTTTTTGCCTTGAAATTGCAGGAATTGTGGGCTGGAATTCCAGGAATTCTGGGCAGGAATTCTGGCCTGGAATTGCAGGAATTCCGGGCAGGAATTCCAGCAATCCTGGGCTGGACTGGGGCACTCCCAGTCCCACAACGATTTTCCCTTTTCCCCTGGAATTCCAGCAATCCTGGGCTGGACTGGGGCAGTCCCAGTCCCACATGCATTTTCCCCTGGAATTCCAGGAATTCTGGGCAGGAATTCTGGCCTGGAATTGCAGGAATTCCGGGCAGGAATTCCAGCAATCCTGGGCTGGACTGGGGCACTCCCAGTCCCACGACGATTTTCCCTTTTTCCCCTGGAATTGCAGGAATTCTGGGCAGGAATTCCAGGAATTCTGGGCAGGAATTCTGGCCTGGAATTGCAGGAATTCTGGGCAGGAATTCCAGCAATCCTGGGCTGGACTGGGGCACTCCCAGTCCCACAACGATT